CGATGCACCAACTCTTTTCCTCTCAGTACGCGAGCACGCCCACTGACGGTCCGACATCGGGATCGATGCCACCGATGGGCGGCAACAACAACCATAACAACCACAGCCACCATAATAGTAATAACAACAGCAGCAGCAGCAATAGCAGCAGCAGCAACAGCATCAACCTAATCCGCCAACTCTCGGCGGCGGCGGAGTCGGTCACGGATGCCACACGCACCGCCCTGGCCACCACCTTGGTACAGAACTCGGGGTTCGGAGTCGGGGGCCACGGCCACGGCCACGGTCACAGTCACGGCAGACGGCAGTCGCTCAGTGCCCAGTCACTGAATCCCAATTTCCCAAAGCAAGGCATCAACCTTCCTCACACGAAGGAACTCCAGCGATACGTTGATGCATACATCCGATTCTTCCACCCGCACCTCCCCTTCCTTCACCTTCCCACCTTGCGCTTCGACCCGTCGTACAGCAGCGGTCAGCACTCGAACGGAAGGGAGTTCCTCGTGCTCTCCATCGCCGCGGTTGGCGCGCTCTACGAGTTTGAGCCACAGGCGGCCGGCGAGCTCTTTGAGGCGGCGAAGAAGACGGTCGAAATATTTATTGAGGAACGGCGGAAGGCGGCGGTTAGCGCGGCCACCAATGGACTGCACAGCTCGAGCTCCGGAACCGATACGCCCGTCTGGCTCGTTCAGGCGATGCTCCTCAATGTCATCTTCGGACTTCAGTGCGGCGATCGCATGGCCGGAGAAGTCGCCCAGAGCCACGTGTCGACCCTGGTCCAGCTGGCGAGAGCCGCTAGCTTGACACGGCCGGCGCCTTTGCCGACCGCGAACTCCTACCAACATCAGCATCAGCACCAGCATCAGCACCACCAGCACCAGCAGCAGGATGATACGGACATCCAGATGGCGGATCTCGAGTTGTCGCCGTTCGGTGGAAGCATGGGTAGCGATGGATGGTCCGGGCTGGGAATCAAGGTGGAGGCGGATGACAGCGTGGAGTGGTCCAATTGGATTCTGGCGGAGGAGAGGAAGAGGACTCTGTTCGCCGTTCACTTCCTGTCCAGTCTTCTCGTCGCGGCTCACAACCAGGACCCGAAGCTGGTCAACAACGAGATCCGTCTGGACCTGCCGTGCAGCGAGGAGTTCTGGACCGCGCCGACCGCAAACGCGTGGAGCCAGAAGGGAGGATACATGGCGGCCACTCAGAGCTCGCCAAACTTTGCCGCTGCTCTCAATGGCCTCCTGTCGGCCGGACAACAGCAGCAGCAGCAGCAGCAGTACGGTTCGACGAATTCCTTCCAGCATTTCTCGAATGGCCACCAAGGCGGAATCCAGCCCTACCCACCGCCGGGGGTCGTGCCGAGCACCTTTGGATGTCTCGTCTTGATCTGCGCTCTCCACGTGTACATCTGGGAGACCAGACAGAGCAATCAGGCACGACACTGGACTTCGACCGAAGCCGAGAACATGCACGCGCACATCGAGCCCGGACTGAAGGCATGGCAGTCGGCGTGGTATCTGACCCCGCACCACAGCATCGAGCGACCGAACCCGTTCAATATGGGTACCCTTTCCGCCGACTGCATCCCGCTCCTCGATCTTGCGTACATCCGTCTGTTCGTCGACCTCGGAAGGGCAAAGGAGTTTTTCTGGGCCCGCGACTACGAGGGCATGGCCGATGAGATTGCCAAGGGCTGGGAGAATGGCCAGAGCACGCCCATATCTTCGGCGTCGTCCATCTCGGCACGGTCCGACTCGTCCTTCTCGAACGCCATCTCTCCCCCGTCCTCTCCCGGGTCGGCTTCGCCGTCGCCCAACCTCGGACCCATCAAGATGGAGCCCGAGATTCCCCGATACAGCGATTCTTCCCTCCTCCACATGCTGCCCTCCACCAACTACAACACGAACCTCGGTGGTGCGTACTCGAGACGGGAGAAGCACCTGCGCAGAGCCGCCTTTTACGCTGCGGATTCTCTCGCCATGTCGGACACGCTGTGCACGTCCAAGACGACATCGTACGCTGCGAGCCAGGAGCTGTGCCGCGAGCTACCGATCCAGTCGGCACTGTGCACATTCGATTGCGCCCAGGTCCTAGCCGAGTGGATCGCGACGGTGCAGATGCGAGTCGCGCCGTACATGGGACTCATGACGACGGAGCACTGCGACCTGGACAGCCTTGAGGCGTTGATGATCTTGGAGACCGAGGACCGCAAGTTGCTCGGCAAGGTCAGGGACATGCTGCAGACGGCAGAGTCGAAGGTTTCCATGGAACAGCCGCGGACGGACCACCCATTCGTCCTCAACAGCGGCCTCGGTCCTACTGTGCTGCGGGTGAGTGCGTATCTGCTCGAGCAAGCGGTCGTATGGCCTGCTACTCGGCTCATGGCGCAAGCACTCCGCGCACACGCAGACCACATGGATACCCGAACTCGGAGCGTGCTGCCACTCCAGAACTGAGCGGATCGCCCCCGGCACTGCCCGCGCACAGCCACTTCAACATGACTGCCCGAATCTGCGCCGTCCTCTGCATTCCCGGCTATACCTTCGCCCTCCCCCACTGAAGCCCTGTTAATTCACCTTTCCATCTATATTCATCAACCACCTTTCCTCCCTCCTCCTCCAGCATCCTGCCGGCGATACTGGAGGACTTTTGACAGTATTCATCCACTTACGGACTTTATTCCGATCTGATCCCTCACCTCTCTAGGAGAGAGGGCTCCGAATTTCCGAGGAGGTGGAACGAATCAGGTCTTGGGTTTCATCAAGTTCCAAGTTGCCAAGTAGTACGCCAAGCTGCTTGGCTTCCTGCTTCTGTATTCCCTGAATTTATCGTGTGCTATTTCGAGTTGTCTTTGGCATTGTACTGTTGTTGCCCTCCCGCGTGTATTTTTTGTGTGATTGCGAGTCTGCTTCTATGTTGATGATTATGAGGGATGATGATTTCCCGCCTGGACTTTTTTGTTTTCTTTTTCTTCCTTGAGTTTCTCGGTTCCACGGCAGCGCACTGAGACTGTGGCGGTCATGAGCCCGTGAGTAAATATTTCGGTTTGGTTTGGGGGTTTAAAACATTTTTTCTTTTTCTTTTCACTATTACGCTTTTACTTTGTTTCTGGGGGTTATGGCTTGGTCGGGCTGGTTGGTCTTTTTCTGGGGGCGGGGCGGAGGGGGGGGGGGGGGGGGGGGGCGGTTCTGGTTATGTATGGGTTATGTATGGGTTTCCTTCTTGTCATGTCACGGATGAGTGTGTGTCTGTCTACAAATATGTATTCGAGTGTGGATTCTTGGGGATTTTATTTCTTATTGCCTTGGATTGTGTTTGTGTGTTTTTGCGTCCATGTGTTATGTGTGCGCTTGTGCTTGTGTTTTGTGCTTGTGGCTTTGATAAGTGTGCCTGTGAGTGTCTGTGTGCGGTGTACGGAGCATGTATTTCTTCTGATTTCTTTCATAGTTTTTCTTCCCAGCCGATCTGTCTGTCTGTCTATCTGTCTGTCTATGGAGTGGGGCGTGAAAACGGTGTTTGGTGAGATGTTTTTGATTATAGTTTTTTCATGTTCACTTTACTTGACGACTTTGTATGGGGGGGGGGAGAGGGGAATAAACGGGATATTTGTGAGGATTTGTGGGGATTTGTGGGAATTGGACGCGGGAATTGGAATTGAATATGAATATGAGGATTAAAGACGATGTGCGGCTGTGATGTGATGTGATTTGATTGGGTGTGATGTTGATGTGATGTGATATGCTATTGTACTGCTATGATGTTATGCTGTTGTGCTAGCGATGAGTTACGAGTTTACAATGGACACTCGAGATGGAATTCTCTAGAGCAATACCGGTACCTATCGATGCTTCTCTCTCTTAGAGACGAATAGACCTTCGATGCGGTGATGTCGAGTGCCCATTGCCCAGTTCCCAGTTCCCAGTACTCAGTGCCCACTGCCCAGTGTCTACAAGGCATTTGGAGTCTCGGAAGTTAGAATCTTGGAAGTAGGAAGTCGGAAGTTGGGTGTGGTAAATTTTCATACCAAGTGTGTGGGGTGCACACTTACCTGTTACACAGGAGATCACTCGCGCCATCCGCTGTCCGTCGTCCGCCGGTTTCGAAACTCTATTCTAGTCTGCTTTGCGGTCCTATGTTACTTTGACAGTAGGTTGGTGCTCGCTCCTACTTCTCGATCAATTTAGCCCAGGTAGTAGGTAGTAGGGAGTAGGTATCGCATCCTCCGGTTACCTACGATACATATTTCGCTCTCGCCGGGAGCAGCGAGCAGTGAGCAGCCAGAAGTGAGCAGCGAGCAGCGAGCAGTGAGCAGCGAGAAGTGAGCAGCGGGTATGATCTTAGAGTAACTATAGAATGACGAGCACGACGAGCAAGCCTTCGAGTCTTCGAGCCTTCGAGTCTTCGACGGCAAGAAGTCGACTGTCGAAATCGCCCATCATGTCTGTGCTGGGTCGAAGGCCGCAGGTCGCAAGCAACAGCACAGCCGCGTTGCTGCAATGGCTGCAATGGCTGCTGGATGTATACTCTAGTATCACAAGGCTGTGTCTAATATTCTCTGCTCTGCCGGCATAGAAACGGCGAAACGGCGAAAACTACTCTACCTACATCATTGGACGACGGGATACTGGTCTGCCAGGGGTGCACCGGTGGACAGGTGTACCGGTGGGCAGCAGCGGATCGGCATTGGTTTGGCACGTCGTACACACGTCTGCACAAGGTGATTGGACTTTTTTTGCGGGGGCCTGGCATCGAGTAGCACAATGAGACCAATAGGTGGACTGTCACACAGGGTAGACGATCGAGTTCCTGTGTATAGCCACAGAGCTCAGAGTTGCATATGAGCTGCATCTGAGCTATGCGTCCGTTTCCCCTACGGGTTTGTTATGATATATCATTCTCTGATCGTGCGAACATTCCTAGGAACCCAAGGCAGCAGCTCATCAGCCACAGCTGAATACAGCTGAACAGAACAACCAACGGAAAGCAGAGCGGTTATCATGTCGCGGTGGTCACTGGTGACGTCGCGCGTCCTCTTACTCCGCAAACTCCAGCGGTTGTAAAGTAAAGTAGGTAGTTGGGCACGATGGATGAGGCGGAGTCGAGAACAACTCGTCACCCAGGGATTGGAGGGTGCCCAAGTCCCTACTGCAGGGAGTGCCGCAGCTCTCACCAGACATCATTCGCCGCGACCTCCAGCCGGCGCGGCGCAGCACCCACGGCCTGATCTTCCGCGGCCCAGGATGCATCTTCACCGTGGGCACTGCCGCCCTAACCGACCGCTTCCTGCTGAAAGACGACACCGGCGCCTGGTACCCTCTTCAACATCGACTGGTCCACGCTCTCGGGCGGCGGCGGCGTTGCCCCCGCCCTCGCCGCCTTCAGCATCAACCTCTGGCAATCCCACAGGTGCACGTCTGCCGGCCTCGTGGACCTGTACTGGGCCGTTCACGACTTCGACTTCGATTCCAACGCCGTCGACACTCTACCACGCACCTTCGCGCACTCGGAGATGACGCACGACATCACGCGGACCCTGGTGGCCACCGCGGGACTTCAGTCGCGAATTGACGAGTTACTTCGATAGCTCCCTGTGGGATGCGATGAATGCTCCGCATTCTCCCAGGATCCTGCCCGGGACTGGCCTCGCAATGTTTGTGGGTAGGAATACGAGGAAGGAGCAGGCTTGGTGCTTGGGTTAACTACCTACTTACCTACATACCATAGGTCGTTACGTGCGTGGATATGTACTCCACCAGCTTTGCTCAATGTCCTGGCGAGAAACAGGCACCTAATGCACTCTCACAGTCTCACCATGTATGTAGTACTTAGGTGGGAGGAGCTCGAGTGGCTCGACAGCTGATCGCCCGACTCCTGAGGATTTCTGCTTTCTTGTGTTCTATCTATGTAGAATACCTATTTATGTCTCTCCGGTTTTCCCTTCATTTCGTCAAGCCCGCCGCCGCCGGTCTCGAACTGCGGGCTCCGGGCCCCGAGGGGCATCTCACAATTGCCGAAAAGATACCCATCATATATACTCCCGCATTTGCGAACGTCGAGTACATCAGTAGTTATCGGCGCCGGCAAGTGGGTCTATACTTACTCTACCTACTCTATAGTACACTGGTAGACTGTAGTGATAACAGGTGATTGAACACGGATACCGACTGGTTAGTTTGTGGTGGATGGGTCGTAGGATTTATGCACATATCACTAGGTATTAGGTCCCAATAACTATCTCCTTCATTAACCTACTTAGGTAACTACGACTTCGTCCAGAATGAGCCTGCGAGTAACGATCATGATCCACCATGCGTGCGTACATACTTAGACAGGTTATGTACTGGTATCAAGCACACCCGCAGTGGCAACCAGTGTTCTCCATAGTCCAGTCCAGTCCAGTCCAGTCCGTTCGGAGGTGTCTGTCGGCAGGACGGACTACCTAGTGCACCAGTAAGGTCGACGGGACGGACTTTAATCGACTGCAGTCGACTGGCAAGACCGGTAAAAAAATCACAAGGCGACATGAATCACAAGAGAAATCGCTGCGCGCGTATTATCGGTGGTTGTATGTAGTGGCTGAGGGAAGTATGAGTGTACTACATATAGTATGAGCACGGGCTGAAGATGACCCCGCTGCGTTGCTGGTACCTACTGGACGAAAGTGAACACACGATAGTGGGAAATACTCATATTTGGTGGGGTAAGTGCTGAAAAAAAGTGGCACTTTTTTTCACTACCGGACTGCAGTCGACTGCAGTCCAACCCCGTCCAGCAAAT